GGGGCCGGCACCGCCGCCGCAAAATGAGCCTGCTGTCGGCCATCGACACGAGCGCCGCCTCGGTGTACCAGCCGGCCCAGCTGCTCAACTGGGTCTACCTGTCGCTGCAGGACACGCACCAGGCGAGCGCTTTCGATGCCTTCCGGCCCGAGCCACCCGCCGGCGCCGCGCCCCCAGAGCTGGCCTTCGGCAAGGGCCGCCCAGAGCAGCTGGGCTCGCCCCTGCACTCCAGCTATCTCAACAGCTTCTTCCAGCTGCAGCGCGGAGAGGTGGGTGCCCCTGCGCGCCCCCGCCCTCAGTCGACCGTGCCGGGCCTTTTCGTATCTGCCCGGCTCTTCCTGGCCTGGCCCCGGCCCGGCTCCGTATTGCCCGGCCCTGCTTGGCTTGGCTTCGCTCAGCTCTGCCAAACTCGCCGCCCGAAGTCCCCGGGGCGCCGGGAGCGCGTCACCTCCCAGCTGAGCCCGGCCCGGAGCTGCTCAGGCGCGGGCGGGGCCCTCCTGCCCTCTCTCCCAGCCCGGGGCGCCCTGCTCCAAGGGGACTGGGGGGGCCCGGCTGGGAGGGTGGGTTCCGGATTCTCTCCAGACAGCCGGGGCGCGGCCTGTGCAGGGAGCCCCTTCCAAGTGTCCTTCCCACGCCCAACCCCATCCCCCTCTCGGCCACCGCTGGCTGGGACGGAGAGTGTGGATTCTGCTCCGAGTTCCTCTGGAGCGGCCTAAAATCTTTTCCCCTCCGACTTCGGCGGTTCCCGATCCGAAGGGCACCCTGAAGAGCAGTGACTAGCCCGGAGAATTTTTCTGCTCTTCTCACACAGGGACCCCCAGATACATCCTCCAGCCGCTCGCCCTCCCCCAGCCACATAGGAAGTGGTTTTTGAGGGCCTGACCCCACAGACTGCGCTGTCCCCCGCCCTCCCAGCCTGGAAGGAAATGAAAGGGAAATCCTCTTGAGCTCTTGGGAGGGGGGCTAGATAGGGGGAGAGGTTCCAGCTGCCCAGTGCCTTCTCCAGAAACCTGGGCCGGCTGCCGTTGCAAAGTCTGCCTGTTGGGTGGATTCAGTTACAGAATCCGAGGGGCAGTGCATCTTCCCCCAGCTAGATAAATACACAGATTGCCAGGACCTCCCAGCCCCTTTGAGAGGTCTTCAGAGCCTTCCTGAATACCACCTTCGGCTGGACTCCTCCCGGGCCCCACTCCCACTTACTCCTGCCTCATTTGGGAACTGCAGACACCCTTCCGTGGCCTTCACTCACTCTCCTTCTGGCAGCTCTCTCTGCAAAAGTGCAGGGGGAAGGGACAGGGGAGAGGACACACACGAGGGGCACTTTCCTTCTAGACCTGGGCACACCAATTAGTTTCGGGAGAGTCAGAATACGTGAGAGTTTGTGGGAGAAGGCCTGTGTATACACCAGTGTGCTGGGGATGGAGGTGGGGAAGACAGCGGGTCGCCCTTTCTGGCCCCGTAATGTGTTCCCCTCTGCCATTATTGACTAGGGGAGACATGGACATGTAAATCGCTGGCCTGAGGCCTAGAGATGGGCCAATGGCAGGCCAGCAGAGAGAAGGGCTGGTTGACCTGTGTTGGGCTAGTCAGGCATAGCTGGGGGAGATGAGTCTGGAAAGCACTATTTGGTGCCAAGCGAGAGCATTTGTATGCCAGAGCTCTTTGTAAACTGTAAAGCACTCTCTCCACGTGAGGAATTGTTCTTGGCTGGGAATCTTTCTTTCTTGTAAGAGACTTTGCCGCCTCTTCAGGGAATGGCTTCTGTGATCAGAGACTTTGCAGGACGGTGCCCGGGCCTTGTCAGTTGTTTGTTCTCTTACCAAACATTTGTTGAGCTCCGTGTGGACCCCTGGGGATTCTGCCAGTCTCGTGGGAGCCCCAGATTAGAAGACAGACCCATGTGAAGGGTGGGTGGTTTCATGGGGGTCCTGTGGGAGCCCAAAGGCAGGAGGGTGACCACGACTCACGGGTCAAGTGAGAGTCCCCTAATCAGCCTCTACTGGCTTCCCTCTGTTCTCACCCTATGGTGGCTTTGTTCCACCATGTGGGTCTCTGCTAAGATGGCCTGGGAGTTTGGGGCCATCAGGAGTCCCCTGTGAGGGTAGGCTGTTGTGCCTCCTCTTGGAAACTTCTGGCATCCAGGATCCCACCCAAGTCTCAGTGAGACCTGCCTTCTGTCACTTCACTGCTGTTTACCTCGATGTCCATGTCCTCATGAAGAGGCACATTCCTTTGCTGGGGCCACTGTAGAAGGAGCTGGTAAAGGTTATCTAGAGCAGTGGTGGAAGAAAGTCACTCACGATCTGACTTTGGAGGAACCCTCGTCTCTGTCTGGGCCTCAGTTTACCTATCTGTAAAATGTAGTCTCTGCTCTCCCCCAGGGTGATGTGTATGGGATTTGAGAGCTGTACAGGAGAGGATGCGCCTACAGACAGGCTGGGTTAGGGAGGTAAGAGGGGCTTCTTCTATGCTCATGGGCCAGTGGCTTCCTTGCAGGGGCTGGAAGGCTGTGCCTGTTGACTTCCGGAAGACTCTCTTGGCTTCAGACTCACTCGCTCTCAGCCCCCACCCGCTTTGCCTCCTAAACCCTCTTGAAGCCCCAGCTGTGCTCCTGGGGACAGGCCTTTCCTGTGTCCAGGGCTTAGCTGGTGACCTAATATGGCTCCAAAATAGCAACTGGTTGAGAGAACAAGAAAAAATACCCCCCACCTGAATGCCACCAAGGGGCTTGTTGGACAGGAAGCAAGTTGTGTGTGGGCTGGAGGGGACTCTACGAAGGGACCCAGGGGCCCAGGAGCGTCGCCATTCTGTGCAAAGCCTGGCAGGCCTGGTGGCAGTGCCTGCGGATGTGACTTGCATGCTGACCGCTGACCACGGCCTGTCTGCACCGGTCCCTGTGCCAAGGGCCCACCCCCTCCTGCACCACCCCAGGCTGCTCCCACCACAATAGCAAAACACCATGAATGCAGCTGGGCTTTGGGCGGGGGGAGGTGTGAGGACATGGGGGCACAGAAGCCCATTGTGCCCCGGAACCTCAGCTCTGGAAGCTGAAGATAAGCCAAGGGTTCTGAGTGGAGCACTGGCCCTGGGAGCGGAGAGGGAGATGGCAGAGTTCATGGGCAAAGTGCAGGAGCAGACACAAGGATGCGACTTGGATGCTTGTGGGGACTCCTTCTCAGTTTGTGGTAAGGCTGCCAGGCCAAAGCACACACAGGTACTCTGCGCAGTTTTTTAAAAGGCCTCTGGGTCTAGAAACCAGGCCCTGTGAACCCCTGTTTCAACCCCTGTTCTGTGGCAACAACTATATGTCTTTGGAGGAAAACTTGTGAAGCCCTTGGCTGAGCCCTTCCTGTCTCTCAAGTATCCGAGACACAAGGATGCGACTTGGATGCTTGTGGGGACTCCTTCTCAGTTTGTGGTAAGGCTGCCAGGCCAAAGCACACACAGGTACTCTGCGCAGTTTTTTAAAAGGCCTCTGGGTCTAGAAACCAGGCCCTGTGAACCCCTGTTTCAACCCCTGTTCTGTGGCAACAACTATATGTCTTTGGAGGAAAACTTGTGAAGCCCTTGGCTGAGCCCTTCCTGTCTCTCTCCAAGTATCCGAGGAAGCCAGATCTTAGAGGGAGTGGGGGGTGGGTGGCATGGCGGGGGTGGGGGTGGTCTTCCCTGCCAGGCTTTGTTTGGAATTTAAATTCACAGCAGTGTGGAGACTGTGGGACTCCACCTCCAGAAAAGTAGAGTTACCCCATGTTGAGCATTAGCTCTCAGGAGCCTCAGAGGGACGCCGAGAGCCCCTCCTGGGTAGTCCCTGTACCCCCTCAAAGGAGATGTAGCTGTCCCACTCCAGGTCACATGCTTAAGGCAACTGTTTTCTTTCCCTCTTTCTCCAGGGCCAGATATGGCTTGAAGATGTGGCCCTACTGTCAAGTGATACTTTGTGGAGGTTGGGGGAAGGGCTTTGGGGTCAAATACATTTGGGAAACATAGCATACTGTCCTTCCCTTGGAAACACACCATGCTAACACAGTAAAGGCTCTGAGAAGTCCTGCAGTACAAAACCTGCTAACCTTTCTTCTTCAGCCTAACATTTTGCATACCTATTTGACTGGATTACATTTTTGGCACAGAACACACACCAGTGTTACGAACATCTCCAGGCCCAGAGAATGCTCTGTCAAAGCAGACCTATTTCTTCAAACCGTAGGAGGCTCTTCCTGGAGCTGTTAACCCAGTTGCCCTCCTGGGTCCCAGTACTATCTTCTGTAGCACTGAGGACACCCTCCTCTTCGCAGCTCTGGTCTCATTGGAGATTTGAGAACAGCAGCAAAGGTCTCATGAGGCTTACCAGACAGGGCTTCAGGCTCCGGCACACACAGGGCTGTTAGAACCCATAGAGGGGTGACCACAGTGTCCTGCTTTAAAAGGTTCCCAGGTATTAGGGACTGTGCTCTCCCCAGGTGCGGCTGAGCTGAGAGGCTGCCTGGAAGTGTAGAACAAAGCCACATATCTGCTCGAGGGTGGGAGTTTGCCTCGCGGGGGCTGAGTGGGCTTGAGGAACTGAAATTTGTACCCAGCAGCCTTTGTGGTCTGTGTGGGGTGGTGGGGGGCAGCCCCAGGGCCTGGGAGGAATGGCCATTCCAACCCAGCTGGGAGCTTGGGAGGATGCCCAGCTCCCTCTGGCCAGCCCTGGAAAGCTGAGCTCTGAGTCAGGCAAGGGGGACCATCGTTCGAGGGCCTGTCGGCTGAGGTGGTCTGACCCTCCCTCCATCAAATTAAGTTGACTGGGCGGGCCTAGACTCAGAGGGGAGACCACACCTCGTGGACCATCTGAGTCAGGTGGGAGGGAGGAAAGCAGGCAGCATTAGTAATAAGGAATTAGCAGCGGCCGAGAGCCAGGCACTGTCAGCACCAAGAGAAGGGCCCTGTGGAGAAGATGGCCCTTGAGTAGCATCTCTTACTCTTGGTGCTGTTTTATTCTTGGCATCTTTTTCTTCATGGCTCCCATTTTACAGAAGGGAAAACAGGCCTGGCAAGTCACCCAGCAAGACAGTGGCAGAGCTAGATCTAGCAGTCTTCTCCATCCCAACTACAGTCATCCCTGTGGCTCCTCCAGCTGGTGCAGTTGGCTTTCACCTGGATCATTCACTGGACGCCAGTGCAGGGCAAGCAGTAACCAGGGTGTTCTGTCAAGCCTCAGTGTCTTGGATGTTCTGTCCCCGATCTCAAACCTTCTGAGGAGTGATAGGCATTGGCCATGGGTTCTGGGTTT